CGAAGTTAATGTCACAACTTCGGCTATCACACACTCAACAGGCTCTATACCACAGGCTTCAGGTCTGATGACTCGATGGGAGATTTGTCTACGTTTATTCACATGGAGATTGAACGTTATATGGGTCAACCTTTATCCCCAAACATTGCCCCTCTTTCTCCTGAACCTTCGGAACTTGGACAGGCTGACAAGGACTTTGATCACCTGTTTTCACATCCTGATTTTTACCTTACCATACCCTCCCTGAGGATTCTGTTTGGCCATCCACGGTTTTTTCTGACTTTAATTCTCAGGTGTGTAATGTTTTATCCCTTGCTCCTATATCTTATAACCCGCATCCTTTGTTATTGCATGAACTTACTTCCTGACCCTATTTGGTGTTTCTCCTGTCTCCTGACATTCGGGTTCATGCTGACCAATCTGCCTCTTAGTTGGGCGATGGTTTTAGTATGTCTCATCTCCCCACTGGCTTCGAATCAGTCGGCCTTCACATTTCATAGGACAGACTGTCCATATCTCGACCAACAGCTGTTGGGTTCAGTTTTGGCCATTTGGGTAGCGGACCCAAAATCTCCCATTAGTCTCACCCATGCCAAATTTCCTGCCTCTATCTTACCCTCACCACCTTTTTGTGGTAGCTTTCCATGATCCATCTGCTGTCTGAGGCTCTTCACAGAAATTGTGAGAGGTTTTCTGGGGACACCCTCTCCCTCCTCACCTCCTTGTTGGCTTGTTTATTGTCTTTGGATTTTGTTTTACATACGTGGTATCTTTGTTGTTGGAACCTTTTAAGTCTAGGATTTATATGGCTCCATTTTTAAGATGTTTCATCTTTGATACAGTCCCAAAATCCTTGAAGTCTCGGGTGGCTTCTGCCCTGCAACACTCTACCATTTCCCATCTAGTTTCTCGTTTATCTCAGTCAGAGCCAAGTGTGGCACCTATTTCAGTTTCTTGTCTTTCCCCTTCCCATCCCTTACCTGTCCCTCCTTCATGTGGTGCAATGGCTTGCCATTTTTCTCGACGATTCACGATACGCTGCCATCAGTTCCAGTGACTACCTGGTGGGTTCTGGCCCAGTAGGAGCTCGCTTTGTGGCCTTCGTTCATTGGTGGTGTCCTTTCATCTCAGATATGTGGGTTCTTCAGGATTTGCCAGAAGGATTTTAAATTCCGTTTTGCTCCCATCTGTTTATTGTTCCCAAAAAGACAGGGGCCTGGAGGCCTGTCATTGATCTGTCCCGCCTCAATCACTTTGTTCACCTCCTCAATCTGCGGTCAGTTTTTTCTCCAGGTCTATGGGTGACCAAGATGGATGTCTTCAATGCCTACTTGCATATTCCCATCTCGAAACACTCTTTCACAGGTGGTATACCAATTTCTCGCCCTACTCTTTGGGCTGGCCTTGGCTCCATGCATTGTGGTCGGGTGGTATGAGCTTTTGCTCTTCATCTTCATGCTCTAGGGATGCATTTCCATTTTTACATGGACAACTGGCTACTTCTGGCCCATTCCAAACAGGACTTGGCCTGTCATACTTGTCAGCTCCTTCTTGAAGCTGCTTGGGTAGACTGGTTGATCAAATTGGAGAAGTACTTCTTAAGTCCTACCCAATACTTTTCAACACACACCTCAGTCTGGCCCAACCTTCTCTTCTCAGACTTTGTTCTATAGAATTGTCAGTTTGCCATGCCTTGTCTGCTCCCTCACTTTCTGCATGCAAGGTTCTGTCATTTTTGAGGATCTGGTTTTCTATGACACCACTGTTCCCCCTCGGGCATGCACACATGTGCTCCCTTCAGTGGACTCTGTACGATCAATGGAAACTTACTTGGGATCCCTTGGATGCTCCCATCACCCTTCCTGTCTCTATATCCCTTGGCAACCCTCTTTTTTCAGGGATCTCTCCTCTTTTACACTCACCAATTGGGTTTGTCATTTGATCCATTCGGCTTATTCCTCCTTGTCCCATTCCCATCTTACTTTGTATTTGTTACCTCTAATCAAATTCGACACCTCACCTTTTCTCTCACTTCTCGCCTTTGTTGACCTCTGGAGGAAATCCCACAATCGGGCATGTAGACCAACCCTAATATGTTTGTCTCCCATTGTTTACATCATATCATGGTTTTGGTTTTCTCGTGTTTTTGCCTTCCACCTGTAGCTATACTCCAATCTTCTGTGCTACTCTGACACCGAGTAAGTCTTTATTAATCATTTATTTTCTTTCAGGAGCCCAATCTTCATAACTTCATTACTTAGATCCTGTTCTGTGGCTAGTGGTGCCTCACTAGGTATTTTTTAACTCTAAATTTACACTGTATGCCATGCTGAATAGTGCTTTCTTTCCTGGCTCTACACTCTTATCTTTGAGATGGGGTATTTCACAAGATCACTTTATGGTGAATAACCTCGTGATATTTGCTTCATAAATTGGCTCATTCTGGACCGTATCATCCATGGACTTCATGAGTAAAGCAGAAAAGGATCACTGCACATCCCTGCCATGGTTTGATTGAATAAATTGGTATGGTCTGCTTTTCAAAATAGGGTTTCATGATCACCCATTGCACTGTCTCAGGTGTTTATGTTCCTCCATGCTGTCCAATGCATTCTCACTCTCCTTTCTTCTAGTAGAGTATGGGAGACCTTACTACTTACTAGCTCCAAGTTGCCTGGGTGGTTGACCATGGAGAGACACTGCTGGATGTGTTTCACTTAAGATGGCGATAACTATTCAGTTCAGAGTAGGGCAGCGGTGTTCTGCTGATGTAGATGACGTAATATTCTCCAATTTGCAATTAAGCATACAACAGAGTGAGATGTCAAAATGCAGTTCACCCCTTTGATTGGGAGCCTTCTCTCATGTGGATGTCAGTACCCCATGAGCTGGTTTTGGTTTTAGAATGAAGCAATCAACATAAGTCCATGCACAGGTTTTGGGTTGTCTATCTTCCTCCCTCGATTCCCTCTCCTGCATTGTGGGTCACAGTTGAGATACGTTGGACTCTTCTGGTTCTATCCTTGGCTCTCTCTCATTCTCTCTTCTTACATGGATGTTATTACCCTTTGGATGGTCCTGATCTGTTTCACAGTTGCAGGGGTTGATTGCATGCAATAGACTTCCTTTCAATTCTAGATGTCACAATCCTGGATCATAGCTCAGAGCTCATCCTGTGTAATACCCAGGAATCGAAGTAGTTCTGAATTCCATAGTTCTAGGTTTTGAGGTAAAGATGGTATAACACTCATACTATCATTGCACGGATGTCGATACCCCGCAAGGAGGTTTTGGATGTAGTTGACTTGCCTAGTATGGTCTGCCACTCTACATCTACAGAGGTATCCTTCAGACACTTTTGGAGGTTATGTCTGTTCTTCCCGCACACTGATCCCTCCTCCTAATCAATGTGGGATTCAAGGTAATCTTGTGAGAAGAGGGAAGTACCATATTGGTAGTTATAATTTTACTATACTGAAAATGTATTTCCTATAGCTACTTCCCTCCACTCACACTTCCCACCCTTTCTCCTCACTCACTTTCGGTGCTTCCGTCATCTGCCAAACTTTGAAGTGATAGTTCAGTAGAAGCTGAAAAACCAATCTTTCTGAGATATTTTTCTTCCTTCAAGGATTTGGAATTACTGGCGCTTAAAGACACTTGTGATTGGTAACATTTTCCTCTTGCCAGAACTTTAGTTTTCTCTCTCCAAGTAGCAGCCTACATGCTTGACCCAGAGAATAGAGGTCAACATTTTGAGTAAGTTGAGCAGAATGAAACCATGGATGTGATGTTGAAGGTAGTTGAACTTATCTCAAAAGTGGATCAAGTGGTTGTTTGTTGTGACTTGGCTTAATACTGAATGACATATAAATACAAATTAAAGAACAGGGAAGCTTAGGGATTAAGCTACCATCACTGAAATTTTAATTTAGTGGATCAGTCTTTTTCTGGGGTTCACAATTACCTTAAACTTCTGTAGAAATATTAAGCTTTACCTCTTTGGCCTCTTCTTGTGAACATAATTGGAAGGCATTCAGTGACTTAAAACAAAGGAAACCACCGCACAATTACTATAGTGTACTATAAGCTTCATCTCATTTAAAATTAGAGCTAACACAGTTAAAACAGAAAAAAGACCATAGCATGGATTGTGAATGAAAAGTCAACTCTGGTAGCTATGACTGTGGGTACTAGCAGATCTGTAACTAATTAAAATTAGGAAGAAATTAATGATGATGAAAGTTCAAGCGAGGACAAGGTCAGTGACAAATAACATTGTAGAGAGAACAGTGATTTAGTAACTTGTGGGTAGTAATTGTTTGTTACAGCTGTTTCAGAAATACTAAGAAATATAATTATAAAATATAAGAAAAACTCTACTACTTACAATTATGTCTTGTAATTTTATATAAAGAAAGCTTCCTAAATAAAGAAGTTACTTGTACAGTATAGGTATTTAATAGTGACATTATTTATTACTAGCAAGTTTATTATTATAAAGATTGTTTTGCATTGTTAGCTTAATATATGTATCATTATAAAGGTATCATTAACAGTGAGGATACTCAACTTATGAAACAATGCATTTTAATCTTTATAAGGAGAAATTAATTAACTATTTATTTCCAAGCTGATTTTTAGTTTCATTCTAAGCACATAACTTGCTCTGATCAGAAGTTAATATTAATATTTGTTAGTTTAGCAGTTAGTTTCCACTTGTTCATTGTATTTTCATTATCCTTGAAATTGTGTTGTCACAATCATTTCATTTTGTTGAATGAATTTCATATTATATAACATATTTTGTATAATGAGTGTGTGTGTGTTATTTTTAATGATATAAAAGTTTGTCTCACAGAAATAATAAATGAATGTTTTTGCCAGAATGATCATTTTTTTTTAATGTTACAATTAACTATATATCAGCTGTTTTCATGTCCACTTGATTGGTGCATGAATGTAGCAGAAATTAATGTTTTGTTTTTTCTCCTCTACAGGAATATTTGCACCAGTTGGCAGGGTAAAAAAATTTGAGGAAACTGTTATTAAACAACAAAATAAAACTTCGAGTAACCCAACTCCCAAAAGAAGTGTAACATTTCCAAAAATAGATGTAACCCATGTAACTTCAAAAATTGAAACAGGTGATAAAGTTTGAATGTTCTGTAGTACTACTTATACAAATCAGATGAATTGTGTTGTAATGAATATTTATAGCTTATTTTTCGTGGAGAACATTTTTTTTTAACCTTAAAAGAATATTTGCAAGATGTATATTTGACAATGAATTTCTTTTTTTGATCTTGTATTTTTATTTTAAGTTTACTTAAAACAAATTTAAAATTATTAGTACAGAATTAAACTGATTGACAAATAAAGATATTATTGTTACAGATAGAGATAATTTCCAAATAAAGTTGATTTTTTAAAATTCTAATTCATTATTATTGTCATATGTTTTACAAAATTAACTTGGCTCTGGAAAAAGATTACAAAAATATCTATAAAGTTGCAATTAGTTACTAATAATCATATGATTCCACAAAAAAGGCCTTGGAGGAAAGGATTTTGCTGTTGGTGACAAAGTGAGGGTTGCTGGTAAAAGAAAAGGGATTATTCAATTTGCAGGAGAGACAGAATTTGCTCCAGGTATCTTTCACATAAGTTTATTAATATTATATTAATTCTTACTCTAATTTGATATTTTTTATCAATTTTATTTTCAACACTGAAACCATTTTAATTTCTAGTATTATAACTGTATGATATTCACATATAAAAATGTATGATACAGTATTCTTCTCACTCTTGCCAAATAAATCCTTTAGCCACTGTGGCTAATGCAATGAAATCTACATTAGCCACACACATATTTCATTAGCCACACCACTTAGAGTATTAAACTTATGCTAGTGTGTATATTGAAGCTGTTGAATGTAAATGTATTATATTTGAGGTACAATAATACTATGATGAAGTTGTGAAAGTAAGAATGATAACTTTGAGGCATCTGTTATGAAAACAACTATTTATACTACACAATATATATTGGTTTGATTTCTTTTGACTTTTGTTTTCTTGGAGCCTGAGATGTCATCTTTATGGAACTCGGATTTGACCTAAGTAAGGCTATCTCTGACTGGATAAAATTACCCCTTCAATGCCTCAAGAAAAAGTTCCTGTGTAAAAAATATGTAACCTTAGGCATGTGTGCCTATTCTTCCTCAGCAATGCAGTATAAACATACAGTAAATGTAAACAGGAAATTGAACCATAAAAACATTAAAATGTGTTGACACTTCATTGGGTAGTCTTAGTATTATATATTTATTTGTGTGGGTGAATTTCTGTTCTCAATGAAGATGACAAACAACTTCAGATAAAAGTTAATATATGCAACCTGGCCTTTTGGCTTACATCTTTTTGAAGGGTTAATGAATGTCACAGATACCCAACTGATTTTAAATTAGAGTAACCAAAAAGAAAATAGAAATGCAACAATATAAGGGAACAGTACATGTGAAGCATGCTAAAAGTATTGTTAAATGGGTTAGAGTCGCTGATCATAAAAGTTAAAATTTAAATAAAAAAAATAAAATATAAAAATAAGTATTATAGGTCCAGGCATTGTACCTGTTAATGAAAGGGCATCTGGATTGATTCAAAAGATTCCTTAAATTTTATCTCAAGAAAATTATCACAAGTCTAAAATTTTCATTCGATAAAGTGTCTCATTGATTTTGAAAAGACAAATGTAGTTAAAACCACATAGGCATACAATCTGGGGACCTTAAAACCATCTTGCTAAAATGAATGCTTTTCTTTCATGTAGATTTCTACTTTTCTATTTTTTCTTTAAATATTAATTGCTGTCTGTTTGATATATTCATGATTTGAAATTTTGCATAGAATTTTCACGCTCAACATTCAAAATACCTTGCATGCAAGTTCTTTGAATTCTTTGCCTGAACCTTTGTTGTAAACTGTACGATCCGATGAAGAGCGCTTGCTTGAAACATTGTCCTTTTTTAATTTAAAACAAAAAGGAAATTGTTCAACCTATTATATAATTTAGTCTCATTGATTGTGCCATGTGTTTTGATGTGGTGCTTAGTGGTGGCTTCTTTGTTGTCAAGATTACTTTAAAAAGAAATAATGAATTTCTATACACTTTTGTGGCAAATTAAAGGTGATTTAGATTCACCACATTGAGTTTAGCTTTGCAGTTGCGAGTGTGGCAGTCGGCTAGCGTGAACAGAGCAATATTCATTAAAATATTGTTTTAAAGAGGGTAATGAATTTATTGGAAGTGATAGTAACTTTGAACTGATTTATGTCTCAGGTTGGTGGTATGGTATTGAACTAGATCAGCCTCTGGGAAAAAATGATGGATCTGTTCAAGGTGTGAAATACTTTGAATGTCAACCAGACCATGGGTTATTTGCATCTTCACAGAGAATCACAAAGTAAGTAATGAAAATGCATGAAAGTTTTCTTTATTCTTCTAAGTCAAAATGGAGAAAGGTGTACATTACTCTTTTTACTGTTCATGTAACTGAGAGAGATAGAGATCCCAAAGAGTCTGCACTAACATTATTTTGGTGTGTGCCAAGCTGTCCAGTTTAACAACAAACACTAAATTGTTTAACAACAAATTTATTTATTATTAGATTAAATGTAAACTACATGTGGTTGAAATGTGTATATTCAACCATTTAATGTCAGATAATTATTGACATATATGATTCTACTTTATACAAAAATGTATATTCTTATTGTATACTACAGTACATTTGAAGGTTAGTTGTCACATACTTGACAGTTGTAGTGTTAATTATGTTCATAGGATATTGGTAAACTTGTATCTTTGCTTCTTTACTTGTGTGAGAAAATTCAATCAATTCATCTAGTGAGTTATGCATAAGATTTTTACTAACATTGTTTTTTATTATTCATATTTGTACGTTAAGTTTTCTATGTTAATAACTGCAAATGTAGCATATTAAACCCATAAATAAGGACATTATGGCTGTTTAAAATACAAGGATGTATGAAAACATTAGTTTTATATTATCCAACTGTTTTTAAGGTGCTTATAGCCAATTGATGTATGTGTTACTAGTTTTGGACTCTAGGACAAACTAAGGACCTCAAACTTTAATGAACTTGCAAGAAACACAAAACAGTTCACTTCCAATTAAATGTGCAAATTATTTTATTAGTATGTGCATATTAATGAGCTCGGATACAGATTATCTAAAAACACAATATCTTTAAAACTAGTAACACAACACAACTAAATTATACATCAATTTAAAGAAGAAAGAAAAAACATGAACCTAACACCACAAATGTCAGACTATCACAGAGGAAAAGAAAAACACAAAAATTTATTTATTTTCAACATGACAAATCAACCCTCCAGTTACAGACCTATTATAGGTAGAGTGTAACGTTTTTACAACCCATGTTGTGATTTATTTCCTGCCTCTGAACTAGTATGGATGATTGGCTTCTCCTTGCCCCTTTTCTAGAGGACTCCTTTCACATCTGCATTCTTCTGTGGAAGGCTGCTCAGCTGGGCTGACTTATCAAGTCTTTCAAGTCTTTTTCTCATGCCCATTGTATATTTGATACATCTAGGTGTGTCTTTCAACTATCATTTCAGTCAGGCTAAGATTTCACCACTTCACCTACGAGCAATGTAATGTTTTATCACCAAGATTTGTACTACTAATTTACACCCTGCAATCGGTGTTGTTTTGCTTTTGGGAACTATGGCTTTCCTTAAACTGCTCATTCCTTTAACCCAACTCAACAGGTTTTCTTATGGTCAGGGGTCAAAGGGCATCACTTTGTAGATTTACATTCAAAATTTTATTGAACTAATATTCTTTGAATGTATGTCAATAAGTTAGGTATCAAATTGAAGATTATAATACAAATTTTAGAATTATACATTAGTTAATTTCTTAATTTAAAAGTAAATATTTAAAAAATTCTAAATAGTGAGTTTTGTATGTAATGTAGTATGTTGAATGCATCTTTGGTTCAGATTAGATGTTTGTGATGTCCAAATACAAAGTCTGTTGTTCTTTGTGAATTAAAAACTCAAGTTCCCAATACTGACAAGCTAGAATATAAAATAAGAACCTTCTATTTGCTGAGATATCACTACATTTAGTGACAGTTGCCCCACCTGCCTCTTCCATTTAGAAATACTTGCTTATGTACACCTACTCCTCTATATCATGTGTTTATAACCAATCAAAATCTCAGATATATGGATATATCCATAAAGAAGGTGTTTGGGTGCCTCACAAACTCTCCGATGATCATTGTTTCCAACGTGGGAATGTGCTTCATCTCTTCTGGCCCGTAATGCATGTGAACCATTTTTAGACAGAATTGCCACCGGTTATGAAAAATGAATTCTCTATGTGAATATTAAATGCCAAAAACAGTGGCTCAGTCCTAGACAAAAACCACTTCCAATCCTTGGACTCCATCTACATAAACTGATCTTTGCATTTGGTGGGACATCAAAGGAGTAATTCATTTCAAATTCCTCAATCCACAGTGAAATGTCAATGCAGAGATCTATAGTCAGCAACTGCAACGTTAAAATCAGAAACACCCTTCACTCATCAGTCGGAAAGGCGTTCTTCTCCACGACAATGCACGTCCACATGTGGCACTTTTGACATAACACAAGATTATATAGTTGGGTTGGGAAGTCCTCCCCCACCCACAGTATTCTCCGGATATGACACCATCAGATTACCATCTTTTTCGTTCGCTGAAACACCATCTTAATGGGCAAATGTGGAAGGTGTTAAATGAGACATCAACATATTTTTGCTTCAAAGCCAAGTGATTTCTTTAATCAGGGCATTAACAACGTGATTGTAAGATGGAAAAGCATTATGAATAAGAATGGAGACTATTTCATTTAATAAATGTTTTGTTTTAATATATAAGTTGTTTGGGTTTTTTCATCTCAAAAAATGCAATATAATTTTTTGGCAACCTAATCTATACACTGAGTGGTCACAAGT